TTTAAGCAGTTTTTATATGACACACTTTAGGATATCAGACTGAAGCCAATAAACGAAAAGTTGCCTATACTCCTCGAATCGTGATGCCGAACAGTGTTATTACATTTCATTTGAAATCCGAACAATGAACAAGGACAATACAGGGTGTCATCAGGAACATTAGCAGATCATCCATACGTTCTAGCCATGAGACAGTGTCCTAATTTCGGAAGTGCGCGCGCTTTGATGCTTTTTCTTTTTTTATTTTCTTTTTTTCCTGGCAGATTAGAAGATTTCCCCAAACTTAATATGGATGGAAGCACTAGGTATTCAAAACTGGGTTATAACCCTTCATTGAAATTCAAATGAGATAGTATGAAGGAAGAAAAAGGTGGGACAGTTAGGCCTGGTTCAGAAGGTGCATCTGGTCTACACTTCCTTATTAAGTGAATAACAAGATAAAAAAAAATTAAACTGGTAGAAAAATATTATGTAACAACGTTATATAAAAACAACTGATCCAAATCAAATAAAAAAGTAAAAAACCACAACTATACTAATGAATGTTTCATGTTTAAGAACACTATTAAAACACTTATATAATAAAAAGCGTTTCATTCAACGAAACATTTCATTCCGAAGCAAACTTCAAGTTAATACTTGAAGAACATGACGTTTCAGTAACAACGAAGTTTAATATTACGTCTATAGTCTTAATAATATGAACCTTGTGTGGTAATAAAAATTGCCAAAGAAAAAATTAAGAAATTACTTGAATGATGACTGATGTAAGTCCATTGTTTTGATGGACAGCTAATTATTATGTCGATGAAAGTTTCATCTGAATATACATTCTTGAAATGTTAATATATATATCCGAAAAAATTGTTATCACGATCTTATTATTTAAAAGAAGGTATTAACTCATCGATTAAAAACGTGAAAGGTGAAGAAACAAAACAGTCTTGCTGGTAACTCTGCTACTTATTTTTATACTGTTAGCTGCCGGTGAAGTTCAAATATTGCATCATACTGAGTAATTTTATGTTTTTGCCTGTTAATATACCCAGTTTGAAGAGCCGATCTATTAAAAAGTGGGTTAAATCACTCATTTTTGTATGTAAAATACATAAGGAACCATAGTCGTAATTAGTGGGATTAACTGGAGTAGCGATGGCATTTCAGTTTATATTGTATTTGTGTGACTAATATATTATTAGGGGTCCTGTAATGAACAAAGCCATGCAATTCGGAGCATAAAAGGTTTAAAAAAATATGTTTCGTAAAAATATGATAATTGATAATTCTAAGGCTAAGTACGAAATCTGAAAAATCGTTATCAGTCTTATTGTGAATATCAGTTCTTGGTTTGAAATAACATGGATACCATAGAATAATGATTCACGTTGTATTTATTATAACTGAACAATAAGGACTGAATTTACTTATGTTCAAAAGTTCACAGATTAAGCAGGCAAACACGTATTTTATTTTCCATGTGTTTCATTATCAAAGGTAAAATATAAGGTCCAACTAATTAAGGCGAACAACGCGAATAAAACATATTGTCTTGGTATTAACAATACCATCGCTTTATGAAGTGTACCGCGTTTTCATTCTGCCTCTTAAACCTGTTTTAAATCTGTATCATAGAGAGAAGACGTTTTTCTTTTCTCTGTGGACAACATTAGTCATTTCTCAGAATGTAAGAGGTATCTGATGTACGTGTTGTTGACCCCTGCGCTCAACACTGGTAGTCCTCACGCAAGCCTTGCTTCACATAGGGAGCATTTCTGCTCTTTCCAAAGCTTTGGCTCCACCTGCTCTCAAGGATAACGAGTCTATAGGACAAATAAGCCTCAAAATAAGAAGTTTCGCCTTCGTCTTATTGTTAATTAGCCTAATGTCCTTCATTAACCACTTCATTACATACTTTGCTTAGGCCTGACGAACACCACCTCCAGTATCCGCATAGGTTGCGGAACTCGAGATCACGGTTTGCATTAATTCCACTTCGAGAGTATAATCATAAACAAAAGGTTACGTCATTCCTTAGTTACAGAAAAAAAACATTCAATTGCATACATTATTATTTCTTTCGTGAGCAAATGAGACAAAAACATTTTATCTCAAATTCACATCTCAGTCTTGTGATACGTTCCTCTTAAATAAGATAACAGAAAGAAATCGTGTTCTGTGTACGTCATTACAGTGTCTATGATATCTAACTGATACAAGTATTCATCACTGTACTAAATGTTATATGCAACTGATACAAATTATCATTATTACATTGTACTAAGTACTACACTCAAGTGATCTGGGTTTTTAGAAGCTATCACAACTATCAGAAACAAACGCCGCCACCACATTCAGTCAGTATCAATTGCAGTTTAATAATGCACGATTCTGTAAGTGCAATTAATTTCAAACCCAGATAGACCACGTTTTTATCATTATAATAAATACTAAACCCATCTGATCCAAGTTTCAACCATTACAATAAGTACTAAACCCATCTTATCCAAGTACAATAATTACAATAAGTACTAAATCCATCTGATACAACTTTTCATCGTTACAATTAGTGCTAAACCCATCTGATCCAAGTTTCAATCATTACAATAAGTACTAAACCCATCTTATCCAAGTACAATAATTACAATAAGTACTAAACCCATCTTATCCAAGTACAATAATTACAATTAGTACTAAATCCATCTGATACAACTTTTCATCGTTACAATTAGTGCTAAACCCATCTGATCCTAAGTTTCAATCATTACAATTAGTACTAAATTCATCTGATCCAAGTTTTCATCATTACATTAAATACCAAACCCATCCAATACAAGTTATTACAAATGCGCAAAACAGGAAACTCAACTGGTCCAAGTTTTCGTCATTACATAAGTACTAAACCCATCTGATACAAGTATTTAGAAATGCACAAAACAGTTAACCCAACTGGCCCAAGTTTTCTGAAGTACAATAAGTAACCCAAGTGATCCAAGTTTTCAAAGCTGCACTAAATAGTAAACCCAACAGATTCAAGTATTCATTACTGCTTTAAGTAATAAGTCTAACTAATTCATGTTTTCGTCGCAATATAGAGCACTAACCCAAACTGCTTCAAGTTTTCATCATTGTATTAAATGCTAAGCCCAAACGAGTCTAGTTTTTATCATTACGTTAATTATTAAATCGAACTGATCCATGATTTATAACTGTAATAAATATTGCATTAAGTATTAAATTTAAATGAACCAAATGATCATCATTACATTAAATTCTAAACCCATCTGTACAAAACAGTAAACCAACAGACTGTTATTTGTAGTAACATTTTATATATGTCTGAAAATATTGTTAGTTTAGAAAACTTGACAGTTATCCTATACACATATACTGTATAAATACAGTTGTAAAATTTCGGTGCCTTATCTGAATTTTCCTTGGGACAACTGTAAACAATAATTTAACATACACATTGAAATATAAGTTCATTTTAGTACTGCATCACATACCTCAATGGTTCCAACAAACAGGGCAACTACGAAACTCCGGTGACCATATATAGTTTTAAACTCTCTTATCTTGCGTGTTCTCTCGAGGGAAAAATAGTTCTCAATATTTAATTTAATCTTAAACATACAAATAAAGTGTTATACTAAAGAAACTTATCTTACTGAAGTCTGAGTAGTAAAGTAGTAAAATAGTTAAGAAAGGCCTAAAAATAACAACGAAAGATAGAAAAACAACAAATCAGATGATCTGGAATACTTTAGAGTTCCGATATTGACATGTTTCTTGTTTCCAGTAGTAATGAAACACTCAAGCTTCTAAAACTCATCTTAAATTAACTTCATTCTCAAAATCTACTATATTAGATGGATTATTTTGGCCTGATGTCAAATATAAACCGAGTTATATCGGTTCTGCGGAATAAATTTTAGTACTTAAAACAAATTGTTGGCTGAATAATTCACAAGAATAAATCTGAAGCATTAATGTTACATACTTGAGTAAAATACAACTCAAAATACCATACACATACAACAAAACTACTTCAACAAGACAACACTTGCAATTATGGAAGCTTTCGTTTAACCTCGGGTTAAGATATCTAATGCTTATTAAGGGTAAACAAGAGGAAATCCTCAATAGCCGCGGCTGTAATTAGATTTCAAAGCGGTCAAGAGATGGAGCCATGAGCTAAAAGTTTGTACTTGAAAAAAGCAGCAAACTCAGATCCATTCTAATGAGCCGCTGTGCCGCGGCTACAAATACAAAAAACCGACAGTTTTTGACATATAGAAAGGTAAAATCTTTATTATTAGTTACAGCTGACAGGCTTTGGTAACACAGTTACAATCATCAGGGTTACAATCGTCTACAGTGTTAGCTTAGCCTATATTCAGTTATAACCGTTATAGGCTAAACTAACACTGTAGTTACTAGATCTGACTATGTTAACTGTGTTACCAAAACTAGTCGGGTGTAACTAATCCTAATCTTACATTTCATTGTGCCTAAAAACATCGGGTTTTGTGGTTTTTTTTACTCTTAATATAGAAGCACCATGTGCCTGAAGAGAAACTGTCTAATGTTTTTTTTTCGTTATCAAGCAGTAAAATATAAAGTATATTATGCATATACAACAAAAATGTTTGTTTTAGTTATCAAAGAGTAAAATATTTATGACATAAAATCATAGATACTAAGTTTCATTTTTAGTATCTTCCGTAATATATAAACGTTAAAAATCAGGTATAAATATATTAATTAAAGTAAAAATTATGTAGGCCTAGTTTTTCACTACCTTACTTTTCTGTTTTACACATTTAGTTTTCATTTGGTAAGCATATAACTCCTGGACATATGTATATTACACTTTGTTATCACATCAACATATATATATATATAAAACTGTTATTTGAGGTTTGTTCTGAATGTTCTAAACTTCTAAAGGAATCGATCCAGTCAAACAGTATTTCGTTTATTTTAAGGAAATGACTTACCTTTAAGATGCACTTGCCGACATCCTCATTCTCTCGTACTGTAACGTTGTAAAAACTTTGATCAAAGATTGGTTCGTTGTCATTGACGTCACTAATGGTCACAATGACAGTGGTGCTAGAAGATAGCGGTGTAGATCCTCCATCAGTGGCCACGACAGTGACTTGTGGCATTGGATCAGTCTCACAGTCTATGTGTGTTCTTGTAGTAATCAAGCCAGTTTTGCTATCGATTTGAAACCATTTAGAATGGGTTTCAGGAGTGTGTTTAATAGAGTATGTAATAAGTGAATTATTTCCTTCATCCCTATCAACGGCTGATAACTGAAATACTGATGTCCCAGGGTCTGCAACTTCTAACACATATGCATAGTAAACAATATGGTCAAATTCCGGAGCATTATCATTTGTATCTGTTACCGCTAATTCAAATGTTCGGGACGCATTTAAAGGAGGGTTTCCTTGGTCAGTTGCACTGACAACCATTGTGTAATTAGGTCTGACTTCTCTATCCAAGGGATAGGATACAATGACTAAGTAAATGATGTTGTCCTGAGTGGTCAATCCGAAATGGCCATCACCGCCTTGCAAAGTAACGTTTACATTAGCATATTCTTCTTTAGAGTCTGGGTCATTCACACTTATCCGTGCCACAAATTCTCCCGGTTTGGCATCCTCGGATATCTTTGGGGAAGCATCATCGCTTAAGAATATAAGGTTGATTGTGGGTTGGTTGTCATTTACATCCGTGATGCGTATGGAGACGAAGGCCGTGGTCTCGAGAGGCTGAGCGCCATTGTCGCGTGCAACCACCACTAATTCGTGAACATCACGTGATTCGAAATCAAGAGGCTTGTTGACAGAAATGACTCCTGTCTTAGGGTCAATAACAAAGATATTTTCTCGATCACTTTGCCTCCGATTAATTGAGTAAGTTGTTCTTCCATTTTCCCCAGAATCAGTATCAGTAGCGAAAACTCTCAAAACGCTAGTACCAAGAGTAGCATTTTCGGCAACAGTTGCGAAATACCTGCTCTGATTGAAAATTGGCTGATTATCATTAACATCTTGAATCGTTATGTTTACAGTCATCGACCCTTTCATAGGAGGAGTTCCTCCATCATAAGCTTCAATCACTAAAGTATAGAAAGGGGTTGTCTCTCGATCCAAAACGCCATTTATCTGCAGATCTAGATACAAAACTTCATCACGCTCGCGATGAGAGGACAAACGAAAGGCGTTATTCACATTGCCAGAAACTATTTTGTAACGCTGAGTATTAAACAAGCCCAGATCTCGATCTTTAGCAGGATTCAATGTCCTCTTCACATCTTTAGGAGTGTTCTCTGGAAAGTCAATGGTCATAATTGGAGTGGAAAATTCTGGAGCATTGTCATTTTCGTCCTTAACTTTAATGGAAACGCGAATATTTTCCCCACTTAATGGAATCGCTACAAATGAATAAAAACTTCTTACTTCGCGATCCAAAACTACGTTCGTTCTTATCTCCCCAGTGGACTGATCAATGTGAAGGTCTGAATCCACAGCACTACCGGGAACTGGAACAATCAAATATGGCGGTTGTGGAGGCTTCGGGAGTCCGCGGCCGTTTTGGCCAATGTGACCAATAGTAGTACTAATTCCAACGCCTTCAGATATTTCAAATTCTTGTAAATATTCTGCACGTAAAGTACCCAAAAGTATAGACAAAACAAGTAAACAAATTTCCGCAGTCCGTTCTGAAATTAATCTACAGAGCCTCATCTTCGGTGCCGAGTTAAAACTTTCCATTCTTCAAAAGATACAAGACGATAATATTCTGTACTAAACACTGAGTGTATTCCGCAATGGAAAGACGATCTTTCTGCTTAGCTGATGTGGCTTGATCATATCCTACATGTTACTCAGGATAGTAAAATAATGTTGACGGCCACCTTCGTTCTTCTGTGGGTGAATGGCCTAGGATCCTACAGATCCCCTCCAAGAAAGGTCAACCCTGGAAGAGAACAAAATCAAGGGTTTATTATTTCTTGCTTGCTTAACTCCCTCTAAAGCGCATGAACACGTGGATTCTGATCCTCTGGAGGTAATGTTTCTCTAGCGTGCCGAGCGCGAGAAGCACGAGCTCAACTGAGAAAGTAACCATCTTGCCCCTCTTGAAGCACTAGTTAAACTGCACCGTAGTGGTGTTAGGTCAACGCAGTTTCGCTGTTGAGGTCAAAAGCTTGTTTTCGTGACCAAAGAGCTTGCCACTGTGGAGTGCGTGTAATTACTAGGTGTCATTCAGCTCCAGTGAGTTCTTCGTGTACCTGATACCCATGAAAAACGTTGAAACCATGAGTACGTAATTTTTAAATGAAGCACCATCTCTTTGAATACTTGAGTTCAATGAAGAGTGTTAATACAGTGAGACCGCATTCGGCCTCATTGTATTAAAGTAGCCTAATTTAAATGTTATTTTGCCAAAATTGCCAATGCGTCTGTCGCTTTAGTATTCACAGCTCTTTACGCATAACACAAGTAATTGATTCATAAAAAAAATTTCGAGGAATTTCAATTCATACTGTGATTTGATATGTAATGACGTGTAATATAGTAAGTTTACGTGATTACACGATGTTCGTTCTCAAAGGAATAACTCACCAAATCACAAAGAATTTGAGTCCATGTATACGCTGCCAAATTAATAACGTAAAATTGTTGTATTTTGCGTAATGTATTTATGAATTTTATTTTCAAGTTAACTTTTTTGGTAAAATAATTGTTAAAACGAAATGTTCTACTACGTTAAAAAAATAATAAAATAATTTTTCTCTGTCTCGGTTATTTACACGTTATAAATTTAAATTCTGCTAATGTTTAAAAGTTTTAATTTGAGATTTTTAACCCGTTATTTTAAATTATAATATATCATGATTTATCTTTTAATTTATTCTAACACACTTAGTAATGACTTTTTTCTAATTAACAAAAAACAGACAAATGTTAAATTATATTCGCATGTCTAGTCATCCGTATGATGTATCTTTCTTTTTTTTACTATATATATGGAAGTAATCTTTATCAATAAAATGTATTTTCACTTGAAAATCAACATGCACTTCAATTAGTAATGTGTATTTATTGTTCCAAAAGCTTTGAAATTGACATTTCGTAACTCTTAACAGGTGGACTTACTAAAGCAATACGATTACGTTTTAAATAAACGTGAACAGTCATACCTTGTCGTGCATTTTCCGGAATAACATGCATATTATTAAGAATCAAGTGAACTTTTATTTTGTAACAGAAGCAACAAGTTTGTCAGATTAAGAGATTCGTAACCCGTTTCACGCCTCACATAACCATGACCTTCTGACCTCACCATTAGCGCGTTTGCCTTTCCAGACAAGACACATAATGAAAGATTTACAAAGTTTGCAAGAAATTATTATCTTCACATGAACATGCCACCAAATAAAGACAAATGACTTAACTCTCTTCTCGCTCGCAAAAGAAGGCAGTAATAAAAGTTGAGACAATAGACCTGTTAAACATCAACTACTAAAATCGAGTCCTGTGTAGAATACCGAGTGATTTCATAGACTTACAAATCTTAGCTTCCATCAAAACTGATTTAAAGTAGAAATAAACAAATTACATATGGCTGATTTCCAAACTGAAGCCAACTCTTCTTTAACTTTGTGATCTTAGCTAAATCCAGTTCCTCCACAGTTCAAATACTATGTAGAAGATAAAAATGTCTCACGACGTACTAAACCTAAATGACTTAAACGTGCAAATACATTATCTGAAACTCAGTACCTTTCAAGACAAACGAGACCCGAGGGTCTTCAACGTGTCCATACAGAAAATTAAATTGTATTTTAAAATTTAATATACTTGAATGATTCTTACGTGCCTATATAGAAACTACTATATCTAAGTGACTCCAATATGTCCATAGTAAACAAATAATAATAATAATTCAAGAATTACTAACTCTGAGAGATTCCAAAGCGTCCATCCAAAAAATGTAAATACGAGTTAAGACACGCTACAACTGACTAACTTCAACACAACATGTAAATAGAAGAACTACATATATCTGAAGGCAATGGCATAGCCAGGAGAAGTGGGAGGAAATACTGGTAGCTAGCTTTATTTAACCCGAGAAAAGTTATTAAAGCAATAGAGCAAAGTTACAACACGATGTCATTGAGCTATAACCGATAAATGCAAGACAGAAAATGTTTTCGCGCAAAACTGTGCTACTCAGCTAAACGACGAATAGCAAAATACGAAGTTTCATTCACACCACTAAATAGTGCTATTAAGTTCATGACGACGATTCTGATACGAGAAATTTCACTTCTGCTTCGAAAAGACTGTACTCAGCTGAAAACGGTCGCTGTAATTTACGTCTTCCGCGAAACGATGCTATTCAGTTGAACACGATGAATGTTTATGTATAATGGTCTACTTCCGCCGCGAAATAGTTTTATTCAGTTGAAAATGGTGAACATATATGTATATAACACTATTTCTGCCGCGAAATGGTGTTATTCAGCTGAAAACAATGAATGCATGATATATGGAGCTCAACTTCTACCGGCGAAATGGTGTTATTCAGCTGAAAACAATGAATGCATGATATATGGAGCTCTACTTCTACCGCGAAATGGTGTTATTCAGCTGAAAACAATGAATGCATGATATATGGAGCTCTACTTCTACCGCGAAATGGTGTTATTCAGCTGAAAAAGGTGAATGTGTGTGTGTATATATATATATATATATAATACTGGGCCGGCATATACTATGTCTCTGCATTACCTTTAGTACTGTATTATCTGGCGTGACGACAGTTATAACTTCTCAGTAACCGTACATAATGTCGCGTTTTGTGGAGGCAGCTATAGTTTTGTTTCACTTTTAGTAATTGGTTATCTGGCAATAATTGTAACTTCTCCGTAACTTAACATAATATTGCTTTTTGGAGACAGCTATAGCTTTGCGTTAGGTTTAGTATCCAATTATCTGGCGTGACAACAGCTCTAACTTCTTACTAAATACATTTTTGAAAACAATTATTAACCTATGAACATATTTGTTTTTAATGGTAACCTTGTTACAGAACTTCGTGAAGAAAACATCTACACATGTTTTGTGTTCCAATATAAGTCCACGTATTTTTTTTCACTGTTTCCATAGAAATGTGAATAAAGATTACTTAGAACAGTGAAGTTCGTAATATAGTTTCGTTTTTATCTTCTTTGTGATAATGGCACACAAGTCACTGTCATATGCATAATTAAATTTATATCTTTACAAAATACGGTTATATTTACACTAGAAATGTTTGCAATGCTCTCTTTATATCATTAAAGTAAAATTTGGTACAAATAACTACCTCGTGTATTTATCAATTTACTTAGACCATGCTCGGATAGATGTTCCCCGAGTCCAACCCTAAAGAACAATCCACGTGCACGCATACAACGAGTAATACACGGGTAATATAATGGATCAAACATGCCGAACTATTGTTATCAAACGAATCACCATTGGACAATTATTCGATAGTGATTGGATAACTTTTAACGATCATAGAGTTGCAGGTGTATCACAAAATGCTAGCATGTCACTGAAGAAACTCACGAAACAATCATCTATGCACGTGAAATTGATGGGCTAGTAAATAAACAAAGTGCTAGGACTTACGGAAGTTACTGATCTTCAACAAAGAAAAGAACGAATTTGTTGTCACCTTTACAAGCTAAACACACACGCACGAATTAAAGGATTTTTTTTTGTTGTTTTTAAGCACAAAGTTACACAGCGTTCTATCTGAGTTATACCCACCACTGGTATCGAAACCCGGTTTTTAGGACCATAAGTCTCGGGACTTAACGTTGAGCCACTTGGGGGCGAATAAAAAGGAAAATGCAAAGAAATCACCAACTTAGATTTAAAATGCTCAGTATTTGCCCCCACTTTATGGTAGCAACTCCATGGAAAATATCAGGGTAACAAATAGCCCCAGTTGAAGAGCGAGATATATTGCAAGTTGCTACAGACAAGCAGTGCTATTGTTGGCATTTCCACTGCTCATGGCTTTTTTCTTCAATTGTTACCAGTTACAGAAGGTTCGATTTAGCTTTGGGAAGTTATTGATAAATGAAGTTGGTGGGGAATGGGAGGGGTAAAGCAGAAATACATCTTCGTTCTGTCAAGCTTCCAATTCTCCCCTGTATTACCCCCACCTACTGTGCCCTTTAGTGACCCTTGGATACGCTGCAATTTGCACCGCACTTTTATAGCAGTGTTACTTCTTGTAATACAGTTTCTTTCGCTCCCGCTATACACTAGCATCGAATAACAAAACCAGAGTCTCAGCTCAGACTGACCACTATACGTCTTTTTTTTTTCCTTAGTAATGAGACCCTTGCATTCACTACAGAATCTTACTATGTTTTGTGTTGGAGCGAGTGACTGTGTCTGACAACGAATATTTGAGAAAGAAAATAAGCAAAGAAGATTTAGTTAGTGACGTGTTATATTGCTTAATATAATAACATTTGGTATTTGTATTTTCGAATTATATGGATTAGGTCTAAGAATGACGAGCACGCAAATGAAAAACCACTGGAAAAATACTACATTAAGATAACTTGAGCCTTTAATGTTACCACATATGAATATACCATGCCAGGTAAAGGATGAACCGACTTCTAATAAATAATCTTACTTGTGAAATTTTTAATAGTTAATAGTTAAATGTCAGAACATAACAATGAATCCTGTAAAAG